GCGGCCCTGCCCTGCCCGTCCTGGGCCGCTGCATAGTCTGGCCCGTGGGCTCTCGGGCCTCAGGCTGGGGGCAGGAGCCGTGGGATCCTCCGGGGGAGGGGCGAGTTGCTGACCCACGGAAAAATCAGCCGGGGCCACATACAAGTGAGAGGCAACCCCCTCACTCGCGGACGTGGCCCCCAGCTGTGGGGAGAGACCCTCCCCCGCTTTCCCCTTCCCCGCCAGAGCCTGGGGGGCCCAGCCGAGTAGATTTTGTGGGCCCCAGCCCAGCTGGGGCCTGGAGCCTTGGGGGCCTGATCCAGACAAGCTGGAGGCTGCATCCGGCCACAGGGCCCGAGGTCCCCCCACCCCTGGATAAACCCCCTGATCTGGAAATGTTGGCCGCCAACCTTCACGCATCCCCGAGGGGCGGACTGAGACCGGCTGAGGAGTGCAGCAAGGGGCAGAGCGTATTAAAGGGAGTTGGAATTCAATAGGGGCTGGCTGGTGGCACCTTCGATGACCTCGGCCAGAGCAGGGAGAAGCCCTGAGACACAGTTCACAGGACGCTATTTGAAGCCCCTGTGGTATTTTCCAAGTCTCTTTCCTAGAGCCCCGGGGCGGGCAGAGCCCTCAGGAGCCACTGAGTCCAGCCCTGGCCCAAGGCAGGACCAACCCCAACTCATCACCCCAGTCAAGCCGGGACCTATAAACCCCCAGGGATGGAGATTTCGCCCCCTCCCTCGGGAACCCAGCCCAGCGCTTCCCCACCTGTCTAGGGAAATCGTTTTCCCTAATCTCCAACCTAGACCGCCCCCCGCTGCTCCGTCACCACTGGGAACAGCCTCTCACCAGCCCCTCTGGAGCCCCTCAGGGAGCTGCAGGCGGCTCTCAAATCCCCCCTCGCTCTTCTGCAGCCCCAGTCCCGTAGCCTCTCCCCAGACTGTAACCGGCACACCCGTCTCCTTCCTCTGGGTGCAGCGTTCCTGAGCCCACCCGATCCGCCAGGGGAAAGCATCTTCTCTGGGCCTGGCGGGTGCCCCGTGCTCCGCAGTCCTGCCTGCCCCATTCCCGAGCAGGGCCCTGGGGTGCGGATGCCCTGGCTGAACACAGCCGGGCTCACCAGTGCAGGCGCCTAGCGCCTGGGGCATTCCACAGTGGTGCCTGGAGGCCTGGGACCGTCCGTCTCCCTGCAAGAGGGGAGAGAGGAGAGACCTGGGTCCTGGGTCCTGCCCCGCCCTGGAGATTTACCACAGAATGGTGGCGCTGGAAGGGGGCGCGGTGAAGCTGCCTCTGGCACTCAGTGTTGGCCCGCTTGGTGCAGGTGCTTCTGTGTCGAGTGCTTGGAGGTGCTGGTCGGGCGCGGGACCTCGGCAAAGGCTAAAGAGCAAGAGCCCTGGAGCTGCTACATGTGCCAGCCCCCGAAGTGCTACGGCGTGTTGCAGCGCCGGCCGGACTGGAATATCCGGCTGCAGGATTTCTTCACCAGCGACAAAGGGCAGGAATACGTAAGGAGCTCGGCCTGCAGTGGGCGGCGCGGGAGTGCCATGGCCCCGCCGCGGGGCTGGCGCGAGACGCTGCGGGGCGCGGGGCTGTGCCGAAACCCAGACTCATTCGGCCCGGGGCAGGCTCAGGCCACACAGCCAAGAGGAGCAGGTAGCTCACCATGTGGACATCAGGGCGGGTCGCAGGTGGCCAGCATCATCCCAGCTGAGGATGTGTGCAGGGGAGAGCAGGAGAGTGGCCGAAGGACAGCAGAGGAGGCACTGAGGGAACGGGCAGTGTTCTCCCTCTCTCTGCCTTGTATGTTCTCCGCCACTGTGATCTCCGAGTGCTGGCTGCCTTCTGGGATTGTGGGAATCTGCCGGATTCTTAAAACCAGGCCTCCAGCGCCACACTTCTGTTAGCATTCGACCCAGTCGGGTGCCCTTTGTGTTCCTGACGTGCGTTTTCCCGCACGCCCGTTCCCCCAGGCTTCTGGGGTTAGAGAGTCTTTCCCCTCCGGGGCCGTGTCCAGACTCAGGGGTTCTTTCGAAAAAAGTAGCCTTTTTTCGAAAGAACTTCCCCTGCGTCCAGACTCAAGCCACGTTCTTTCGAAATTATTTTGAAAGAACGCGGCTTTTCTTTCGATGGCGGTAAACCTCGTTTCACAAGGAAGAACGCCTTCTTTCGAAAGTTCCTCTTTCGAAAGAAGGCGTTCTTCAATGTAAATAGGCCGTCTTCGAAAGAGAGCATCCAGACTCGCTGGGTGCTCTCTTTCGAAAAAGCGGATTTCTCTTTCGAAAGATCCGCCTGCAGTCTAGACGCGATCTTTCGAAAGAGGCTCTTTCGAAAGATGCTTTCGAAAGAAGCCTGCAGTCTAGACATAGCCCTGGAGAAATGCCAACCCAGCGCCCAGTAATGCCAGGGCTTGGGCACAGGGCCTGCCTTGGGAAGCATCCATGTTACCTAGAGCAAGAGGGCTGAGGCTGACGGTGCTGCCTGCTTCATTTTTCTCTCTGTTCATCTGCAGGACGCCCCGAAGATCTACCCGGCAGTCCCGGCAACGGAAAGGAGGCCGATCAGAGTGCTGTCCCTGTTTGACGGCATAGCAACCGGTGAGACACCGAGGGATCTTGTCTGTGAACGACTAACCGTGTAAAATTCTGCTGGTTCACACTGCTCTAGGGCCTGCCCGCCAGGGAGCTGATGTTATCGTGGACAGTTCTCTGAAAACTTCCACGCAGTGTGCAGTGATGGTCAAAAAGGCAAATAGGATGTTAGGAATTATTAAGAAAGGGATAGAAAATAAGACCCAGAATATCTTACTGCCCCTGTATAAAACTATGGTACGCCCACATCTTGAATACTGTGTACAGATGTGGTCTCCTCACCTCAAAAAAGATATTTTGGCCTTGGAAAGGGTCCAGAAAAGGGCAACTAAAATTATTAGGGGTTTGGAACGGGTCCCATATGAAGAGAGGCTAAAGAGACTGGGACTTTTCAGCTTAGAAAAGAGGAGACTGAGGGGGGATATGATAGAGGTCTATAAAATCATGAGTGGTGTGGAGAGGGCTGATAAAGAAAAGTTATTTATTAGTTCCCTAAATAGAAGAACTAGAGGACACCAAATGAAATTAATGGGTAGCAGGTTTAAAACTAATAAAAGAAAGTTCTTCTTCACACAGCGTGTAGTCAACCTGTGGAACTCCTTGCCAGAGGAGGCTGTGAAGGCTAGGACTATAATAGAGTTTAAAGAGAAGCTGGATAAATTCATGGAGGTTAGGTCCATAAAAGGCTATTAGCCAGGGGATAAAATGGTGTCCTTGGCCTCTGTTTGTCAGAGGCTGGAGAGGGATGGCAGGAAACAAATCGCTTGATCATTGTCTTCTGCTGGCGACTGTTGGGAGACAGGATTCCGGGCAAGATGGACCTTTGGTCTGACCCAGTACGGCCGTTCTTATGTTCTTATGTTCTTATGAGCTCCAAGCCCCTCACAGACAAGAATGAACTCAGCCTCACGGCACCCCAGTGTGGGAGAGCATTGTCGTTGTGCCCATTACAGAGAGGGGCAAACTGAGGCACGGAGGAAGGGCATGATTTGGCCAAGTTCTCACAGTGGGAGCCTGAGGCAGAGCCCCGGCTCTCCAGCCTGCGCTTTCTCCACACAAACCGGACGTGCAGGATGAAGCTCCCAGCGTTTGAGCTGCTGGCCTGTCTGCTCGACGGAGGGAGGCCGTGGCGGGAGAGGGCAGGCAGGCGAGACCCATTGCTATAGACCTTGCCATGCGCCCGCAGAGCCTCAGCGCAGACCCCACAGGCGATGCCAGCGCTGTGTCCTGGCTGGAAAACGGGAATTCCACCGTGCAGAAGGTTTCGACATGTGCATCTGCACTGGGATGGAAATGAAAACTTTCCAAAGTTCTCATGAAAAACCAGAGGGGGAGAGACCAACCCACCCCAGAATAGCCAGGAGCCTGGTGGGGAAAGTTCCCGCCTTGGATCGGGGAACTCGAGGGTCAGATCCCTTCTCTGAATCAGACAGAGGAGGGACTTGAACCGGGGTTTCCGGCATCCCAGCCAGTTCCTAACAGGCTGTTAGAGTGTGTGTGTTTGGGGGGTGGGCTGTCTGCCTCCCCACCCCCTGGTTCCATCCTGGGCTTGAGAAACCTTTCCAGGGAAAGTGTCACAGAAACCGAGTCTCTCCCGCCAAAAGTTTGTTTTGACAAACCAGCATTTCCCCGCCACTTCTAGTCCCAGGGCACGGGCGCCTGGCATTAACGAACACCCCCAGGGCAAATGCAGCTCCGCCGTGTGTCAGTGCAATCCCCTGACGTCAGCGGGGCTGTATTTGTTACCCCCCCGGGCTGGATTCGACCCTGGACCTGAGCTTCGAGGTAAAGAATTGTCCCCTTGAGTTTGGCCGCAAGCCCATGTCTTGCTCACTTAGTGCATCCCGGGCACTGCGTCTGCGCGCACGTCATGGCTCTGGGCAGACAGCCACACGCTGCTTCCAAAGTCCTGGGCTGGATCGGGTGGGGAACGGACTCTCGACGGGCAGCCTGGCTCTCCCCTGGCGACACGTCTTCGAGAACGCTAACCAGCGCTGCGTAGAACATCCCTGGAGACTCGAGAGGAAGCCCGTCGCAGGGACCCCAGAACAGGGCTGTCCGGGAGGGATATCCCCTTTGGCTCTGGGGAACAGTTGGGATTCAGAAAGCCAGGGCCTGGTTCTCCAGGGTGCTAAGCACCCTCCTTGCCCACCCTCTTCAGGGGAGGAGAGGGAGCGCCGGGGCTCCCTTGTAAGATGCAGCCCCCAGTGGGGAATCATCTCCGTGCGGGTGGTTTGACTGCTGAAGACCCTGTTCTGCCCACACCTCCCTGGCTCTTCTCTCCCTGGAGAGGCCTCCTGGGAGAAGGCCAGTGAAGTCCTCTGTCCATGGGGAGATTTTAAAGGGCTGGGGGGGACTCTGAAGTCTGCCGCCTTTCCTGCCGTCACATGCTCTGGGCCACCCTTGTGCATCATGGCGCCCAAGGGGGGCACCGAGCGGGTGGGGGAAGGACCCTGCCGACTCGAACCCAATCGAGGGGTCTCTTCCCCAACAGGCTACCTGGTCCTGAGGGACCTAGGCATCAAAGTGGAGAAATACCTGGCCTCAGAGATCTGCGAAGATTCCATTGCGGTGGGAACCGTCCGGCACGAGGGGAACATCACGTACGTGCACGACGTCCGGAACATCACCAAGAGAAACGTGAGTGTCGCCCCGAGAGAGGCGTCCTGCCGGAGGGTGGGGAGCTGCAGAGGGAGAGTGGGAGTTGGATTTTCTTTAACGGGAGAGGACTTTGCTCCCTGGTCTTTGCTGACACCCAATCTGCTCGCCCTAGATTGACGAATGGGGCCCCTTTGACTTGGTGATCGGAGGCAGCCCCTGTAACGATCTGTCGATTGTGAATCCTGCCAGGAAGGGGCTGTACGGTAAGAGTGCCTGTTTGCTTTTGGAGGGCCTGGTGTCTCGTGATGGTTCGTGGGGCTGGAACGTGTCACTCCAGGCCGGGGGTTCGTAACTAGCCCGGGGTGGTGCTGGCCACAACGTTCTACCATCTGGTCTGGGGCCAGGTTGGCGGCGTCTGGGAAATGACTTGGTGTCTCGTCCATTGCCTGGTGGATGGGAGTCCCGAACTCCCTCCGTAAAGGGCACTAACAAGCACCTGCTGCAGGGCGGGCAGGGACTGGCTGGCCCATGGAGACGGGGAGGGGCCCCTCGGCCAGCTCGGGGGAGTCGCATGTGCTGGGAGCTGCCCTGGGGCGTCTCTCTCACCCTCGACTCTCTTCCTCGTTGCAGAGGGGACTGGGCGGCTGTTCTTCGAGTTCTACCATCTCCTCAACTACGCGCGCCCCAAGGCCGGGGAGGAGCGCCCCTTCTTCTGGATGTTTGAGAACGTGGTGGCCATGAGAGTCAACGATAAAAGGGACATTTCTCGATTTTTGGAGGTAGGAGTCACTGCGGGGGGGTGGTGGGGATTCCCTGCGTTCCTGCTCTGCCGACAAGGGCCTACGCACCCGCGATGCGCTTCAGCATCAAATATCTGCCCGGCAGTATAGCGGGAGTGCGTCTGCCTGTCTGTCTGCGCGTGATTCCTCCGAAACCGGAAGAGCTCAGGCCACGAAATCCGGTCGCCGCTTCCTCTCCTCCGGCCTGACAGCGAGGTCGGGGCTTGGCTGAGCCAGGGCAGCTGGCAGCCCCCAGGAAAAGGGCAGTTTTCCCTGCCACGGAAAGGGAGGGGCTGTTCGGAGGGACGCGATATGAGCGTGTCCGTTGGGGGCAGCTCATAGGGAGGGTCAGCAGGGCTGGGGCGCTGCCATTCTGCCTGGCACCAGATCAGGTAAGTGGGGGCCCCCCCTGCACAAGAGAGGGCCCCCCCACTCTAGGGGAGAGGCAGGTGGGAGCAGGGCCAGGGAGTAGCGGGGAGAGAGCCCCCTCGGGCCAGGCAAGGGGGGAGGGCGAGATCCCCCCACCCCGAGTCAGGCCAGGGGGAGGAAGAGAGCCCCTGCTGGCCACTGGGGGCAAACCAGTGGGGGGAGGGCGCAGTCCCTGCTGCCCCGGGCTGC